GCAATTGTTCTTGAAGAAATTTATGATCTGGATATATGTAACTTTAGATGCTGAAGTAAACAGTTTGGTAGGACCTAATCGCCTTCTCGTTCCTTTTCTTGCTTGCGGTGATTTATCTGGCTGGGATTCAGATAGAACATACAAACTTGAATTACCTAATATTTCTGGAAAAAGTGAACAGGAGAGGTATGTATACAGGCCTGTTGTACAGCCTCCCACAGATCCTGCATACAAGGTAAGATTTGTTTTACAAATTTGGTACCATGTTTTAGGACTTATTTCTTAAAAAATTTGATAGTTGCTATATGGGGACCTTTGAATTTTTACTGTTCAGTTTTATTATTTCAGAAAGCATGCGCTTTAAAGAAAATCGGTAAACTTGCTAAACCTGAAATAGCAGATCCCTTCATGAAATATGACATATCAACCTGGAAGACAACCAAGAAGAAGAAAGATTCTGACTCTTCTGGTAATTTGGGAATTGATGATGAACTGGCTGAAGCTTTCTCTGAGTGTTTTGGTTTTAATACTCATTAATGTGATGCATATAAAAAATCTTTATTTTTGTTGATATTCTTTGTTGTTTCTAAGGAATTTCGTGTACAATTTGAATTTACAATAGACGTATGTTAAATATAGAATAATCACTAGTTGTTTTTTATTTCATAAGACAAAACAACTCAAAAATTTTCTAAAATTGGAAAAGAGGGATATTTTGTCGAAAAAATTCTTGTTGGTAATTTACCGAAAAAGACACATGTTTTGGTTGCTTGAAAGTTTTTAGAATTCTTTTGAGCAAACAGTAATTTTGAATTACTTGAATTTTCCGTATAGTCGTTCACAGTTCTGTGTATAATTGTATCTGTCATGTAATTTTGCTTCTTGAATGAAATGATTATATAAAAGAACATTTTCACGAACTCTATTTGTTATTTTGTGCTGAAAATCGGGTGTGTCTGCAATTAACTTACTGAAGTAGTTGCTGCTTAAATATCATATTTTTTCAAGTAATGGATCTGGAAGGAACAAAAATAGCTTATTTTATTTGTTATTTTTCTAAATCTTATTAGGACCTGTCGGTGTGAGCATTTTTATAATTGCGACTAAAAATTTTAAGAGAGATGAGATTGTTGCAAAGGTTATATTGTATCTGTAAAGAAGCAGCAGTGAGGTATCAACCATACGTCGGGCTGGAGGTGCACGCTCAAATTATGACCAGGTTGATTCTCTGTTTCTGTGACATAAATATATATTCATTTTTTTGTTAAAAGAAGTCGCCAATTCATCTAAGTCGAGTTGTTTTCTCGTATGAAAGTTGCAATAGCATGCTAATGACACTAGAGTGATCAACGGTATCTGAGATTCGTTGATTCACATATGCGGGCAAAGTTTGCAAAATGTTATTAAGTTGCTAAAAATTTAGAATTATTATGGACAACTAATCACTGATTTTTTCCTAACTTTTTCAGTCTGCTTGCATATTTGCAGGACGAAACTATTCTCTTCAGCAGAATTTGATGATTCTGCTCATGTTAATTCTTGTATTGCACTGTTTGACATGGGACTTCCTGGAACTCTTCCTGTTCTCAACAAAAGTGCCGTGATGGTTGGAATTTTTTTACTTTTAGATGTTTTATTTCTGGTGCTTTTGAAATCGTTTTGCCAATTTTGCTTTGATTGACAAAGTGATTTATATTTTGCTTGAATATTATTAGTGTACATTAAGGTATTAAATTTACAGTTTACAAGTTTGGTAATTGTCGTTTTTAAACTGATTTGTAAAATAATTTTAATAGGTATATTATTTAGAAAGGCATAGCAGCAGGTCTTGCACTGAATTGTAAAATACCTAAACGATGCAAGTTCGAACGCAAGCATTATTTTTATGCAGATTTACCGATTGGCTATCAAATTACTCAGAGGGATCAGCCTATTGCTCATTCTGGATTTTTCGAATTTTATGTATATTCTGATGACAATGTAAGAGTTAAGATGGATTTCTGAAATAATTGTCCATATAATGGCAAAGGTCATGCAGTTCATTATCTAACAGTCATTGCATGCACCGAAAGTAATTTTAATTTCTTAAAGTTCTTTTAGTCATTTGTACCTTACAAAAAGCGAATAAATATCATGAGAATTCAACTTGAAAATGACAGTGGTCGAATTGTTCATGATCTTAGCAACAATCGTTCCTTAATCGATCTTAACCGAGCTGGTAATAGCAATCTTTCAACACTCAGCGAAAGCAGAAATTAATGGAGATATCTCCTCAGTATTCTGAAAATATAAATTTTTCAGGAGTTGGATTACTAGAAATAGTTACATCACCTGACATCACTTCTGCATTAGAAGCGTATTGCTTCACTCAACAACTACGTCTGACTTTAATGGCAAATAACTTGTGCGGAGGAGAAATGCAAAGTTTACACTTGTTATATCACCACTATTTTCGTTCAATTTATTCTTTTGCTATCATAAAGCTGTTCTTTACAGTTTAGGACAGTAAAAGTGTAGTTTTGCAGAAGGTCAATTTCGCGTGGATGTGAACATTTCATTGGGCGAAGCAAGTAGCGGAAACTTTGGTGTCCGAACTGAAATCAAAAATTTAAATAGCCTTCGTATGGTACGTCGAGCTATTGACAATGAAATAGCTAGACAACGTCAAATCTTACTTTCTGGGAGCTCAGTAATTAATGAAACACTTACTGTAGATTGTAGTGGGTTAGTTGTTTTGCTTAGATTACTTTTTCACTTTTTGAATGGCTGAAAGATTTTTTCAGTCGTTAACAATTATATCCGAATTGATTTTTGGTATTCCTACAGTATTTTTATACTAATTGTGATAGTACTTTGGTATTCTCTTATTATTTTTTAAAATCGCTATCATATTTTACAGTCACGCAGTGACAATGAGAGAAAAAGAAGTTGAAACAGACTATCGATTTTTGCCCGAAACAAATCTTCCACCAGTGCATATTAAGGAAGAGTGGATAAAGACTTGTAAATCGATGATTGTGAAGCCTAGTTATCTAAAGTGCATCGAAGAATATGGAATAGAACCACGAACTGCATTGAAAATAGCTGTATTCATTATTTATTCATTTTTGTTTTTTTGAAATGAGAAGAAATGAATATTATTTTTTGATATTAAAGTTAAAATAAAAAATGCAAGTGGCATTCAGGTACATAAGTGTCTGACACAATATGCAAGCGTTTGATATGTGAGTCTCTTAATGTGTGAGGTCTGATTAGCTTGTGAGAAGCTTGAAATATGACCTATGTGGAGGCGGAATGCAAAGTTTGCACTACTTTATATCACTACCACATTTGTTTAATTTATTTTTTTTGCGTTTAAAGTTTTCGTTTCAGAGCGAAAAATCAGTCACGAAGTTTTTTGAAAAAATATTAGCTATTTGTAAAACTGTTAAAGTAATCCCAGTATTAGTTGAGTGGGTCTATTCATTACAGACAATCTGTCACAATTGCAACAAACCATTTCCACCATCAGGGCAGGTTTAATTTTCATTACCAGTTACTATTATCCGTCATTGCACCATTATAATTTTTAGCCAATTAGCGCAGCATTTATATGGTAGAAAAAACAAATATAATTTAAAGTTGCCCAAGTTAAAATTTCAGAGAAACTTTCATCGGTCATTTTGTGGAAGCCATTGAGCTTTTTCATGCTAAGAAATTAACCAAATTGACTACTTTTGATTTGTTACGGAGGTATGTTCGAAACGAATTGAACAATTCTCCTACTGAGGTATTAATTTACTGCAAACTTTATACTTGTATTCAGTGTTGCTTATGTTTTATGAAGTTCTTTGACGTAAAATGTGAGGAACGTTGTTCATATTTGATGAAATGGTTTATGTGAAATGTAAAAGTAATTACTTTCATACTTTCCAGACAGCAAACGTTGAAACTTTATGGCGAATAGCTGACAAAGATGACATCATACGTATTTTCGAGAAAGTAATGCTTGACAATAGCGAACTTGTTGCAAAAGTACGGAAAAATGGAGCTAAAAAGCATTTTACTAAATTGCGTACAGCTGTGCTTAATGAATGCAATAGACAAATTGAAGCTGATGAGATAAGCGAACTCATCATGCAAAGAATTTGTGAGAAGAAAAAAGTCTGAAGAGCCATTTCCAGAGTGCATTCTTTTTTCTATCGTTAATGATGAGCTTGAGTGAAGTAAGGATTACTGTTTATTTATTGTACTATTTGCTGCCACATCACAGAATTGTATCTATTATTGTATCTACTATCAAATACTGCATAATAATTTAACACACTGCATTACTTTTAAAAAGGAACAAAGAACTGCAAGACCGGACAAATGTGAAAAATATTGAGATAAAGGCCTCGAACTCCTTCCCATCTCATTCTATCAGGCAGTAGTGTGAAAGAGAAAAAAGGAATTGGATGAGTGCCAATGACTATAAGATTTGAATAACCATTTTGGCAGAAATGATTTTGAATATTACAGACGTTGAAATGTTTATGTTGGCGTTGGAATCATTTTTTATATTGTAATGATTGAGTGATGACAAAATTATATTAAAAATCCTTCAGGGCTTTATAGTCCATATGCTTCGAAAGTCAAATTCACTTTTGCTAACAATAATAATTGCTTTGAATTGTTCACTTAAGTATTACACAATAAAATTATAAGAGTTAAATTTGTATAAAGGAATTGTTATGTGCTAATTTGTATATATATATGAAAAATATTGAGATAAAGACCTCGAACTCCTTCCCATCTCACTCTGTCAGGCAGTAGAGTGGAAGAGAATGAAAGAAACCAAACCTTGTTCTTATGCATATGTATAATTTGCATATAGTAGTATGAAGTTTGAATTTAATGTAATGCCTGCAAGTGAAGCACCTGAATTGGCAGTAATTTTGAATTTAAAACGATGACAGTAACGTGAGAAGGGGAAAAAATATTTAGCAATTATTTTTTATTGTATTTGTGCTTTATATGTCTGTGCACGTGCATGGTAATGTATGTAGCTGCAAGAAGTGAAGAATTAGTGACTCCTTCTACTTCTACGCGCTTTGCACATGTATCGTCCAGAAATGGTAGTACTGATGTACAAATGACTACTACTACTACTACTATTAGCAGTAAAAGTAAAAGTAGAAGTAGAAGTAGAAGTAGAAGGAGTAGTAGCAGTGATAGGTATTGGTTGCCATCGATAGACCGATGCTGGCAAGGGTGGAAAAGAAGGAGGAGGAGGACGAGATCGATCTGTCACCGCTGTCTTTGCCATTCTCGAGACCATTACTCGCTTAGTCTCGAAATCCTGCCTGCAATAGTTGCTTCTTCGTCATGTTCTGCTCCATTCCATATGCAAACCAACTATACATAATATGCACATATACATGCATATACGTACACACACACACACACGCATACATACGTATGTATTCACATATATGTAGAAATATGTTTATATATGCACAGCCTATGCATTGCTCCCAAACTCACAAATGTCATCTCTATTTTTGTCATAAAGAAGTCAGTCCATTTACGTATATATCTATCTACTATACATATCTATCAAATATTATTTTTTATTTTAAAAATTTTTGTTCAATTCTTTTGAGCAAAATTTTTACAAAAAAATTTGCTGTGAATAGTTTTAGGATATGTAAAGCTGGTAGATAGCTATAAAGATAGTTTGGTACATAGATAAGTAGGTAGATATATAGATAGATATATAGATAGATAAATAGATACATGGATGAATGCATGGAAATATGGATGGATGAGTGAATGAATGTATTTATGGGTGGGTGGCTGGTAGGGTAGTTGTGGGAAATGATAGCTGCTGAGCATTGTTGGCCAAGCTAAAATTGCCAGCAGCATGGCTCAGGCTGTGCTGCTGTTTGTTTGGGGATGAATTTAAGCTAACGTAGATGCGTGACTGCCTGGAGGACCAGCAATATTACACATTAGTCTGAAATAGAATCTGTTTCATTCCTTTGTTCAGTTTTTTTTTTTTTTTTTTTT